TGTTAGATATTATTTAAAAAATTAACTCGGCTCTTGAATTAAACGAAATTGCGAGTCAGTTTTTTTGTTTTTATTCTTCATCATACCCAGCATTCCCATTTTTCCATAGGGTAAAACCAGTCAGCAAATGATACCCGAAAAGTTTGCATATCTGGGGGCAGCCCCCAAATAAAATTCACTGCCAAACGGCAAACGACCAATCGCGATGCAAACCTGCGGCTGATATATGCCACTTAGTGCTGTGTGCAGAGGGACTTTTTATATCATATGTAAACTAAATAATCTAGTTTTATTTAAGAAATTCCCTAAAGATATTAGATATTAGCTCTTAAAAAAAGATATAAAATTAAGAAAAGAGAAACTTTTTATGAATCTATACTAGCAAATAGCGTTAAAAGAAAAGAAAGAAGAAGAAGAAAAAAAAAACACAAAAAAACTTTTTAGTTATTTTCATCAAATTGGACAAACAAAAAAGTTTTTGCGATCGTTAAGCATTGATAGAAATAAAACGTGCTAATTCCAAAAATGCTGCAAATTCGAAAAAGCAATAAAAAGCAGAACAAATACACACATACATGGCTACATGCATACAGTATATATGTATATAGTTCACGTATGTATGTATATAGACTCAGTATATATTTCTATTCTGAATCGTCTAAAAGGTTAAAGGCGGAACGTATTTATAGCTGTGCGCCACGTTGCCTGCAGGATAGCAAAGCCCTAACCCAAACTCTATTGAACTTTCCACCGATTTTCATTTAGCTGGCAGCCTTAAGCCATGTCAGTTTCAGCATTTTCAGATTTATTGGAAAACCAGCAAGCAACCAGGCAGGCAGGCAGGCAGGCAGGCAGTGAGGCAGTGAGGCAGTCAGACCTGCTCCTCTGTGGCTGCTGTAAATGATTTGCCAGCATATTTCAAACGCATTTAATGGCATTGCTCATTTGTTTACCAGCAACAGAATCTGCTTGTGGCTTGCCGAAACCACGGCTGCAGCCACAGACTTGCACTTCGCCATTCGCACAGAACTTTATTGAACGAGAAGTGGAGTGTGAACTGATTAGAGTGCAGGTGTGTGTATCTTACATATATGTACATATAATATATGCATATATGTAGGTGTATATATAAACAAATATTCCTGCTGCTTGAACTTATAGTGTAAACAAATACAAAGTAGATACATACATATGTATACTGTTATTTAAAAACTATTCCAACCACTTGATTTCAGTGTTATGGGAGAACAAAACGATTTGTTGAAGATTTTCAATAACATGCCCAAAGTAAATTTTCCATTTCCTATAATGCAGAGGTAGTCAACGATTATAAGTCTTTGTTGGAAGCTATCAAGTCTTTTCTCGGCAGCGCTTTATAGAAACGAGAGCTTAAATAATTTACAAATTTATTATTCCATTGTGTGATTTATTCAATTTCAACAATCATATATTGAAACAATATGACGCAATTATTCTTGTGTTATGACTATGAAAAATTAATTCTTTTTTTTTTTTAATTTACTTAAATTTGTTCATTCATTTCATAGCTAAAGCTAAAGTGCAATATTTTATATATATGTAGCTTTTAAAGCTATGAAATGAAGTGGTTGTGTGTGTAAATACACTGTTATATTTAAAATTATTGATAACTATTTAAGTTTTAACCGCAATGAAGTTCATTTGTTACTCAATTATCAATTGCGTAACTCCGGAGCTAGATTATATAAATAATTTTTATAACACTTTTTACTACTCTCATTGGTTGTCATCGGTAACTTCTTTAATTTCTTCGCATTGTCATATCATATCAGTTCCCAAGCATTAAAGCTATATAGCAATTTCTGTAAATCATGAATCATTTATTTTGAATTATTTTCTACCTAGTAATCCTTAAAGACGCTAAATTAAGTCTTAAGATTGAGATTTATATTCATTTAGTCATTAAAATTTTTGTTTTCCTCGAATAGGCATGAGTAAATAAGAGTGAAAGTTTATAGTTTGACTTTAATGTCTGTAGTCTAGAAGCCATAGTTAGGCGAAAAGTTAATTAATATGATTTTAATTTAGATAAGCACCTGCGGCCTATTGTCGCTTGCTGAGAGTCTCTGAAGCTCTTAACATTGAAGGTGTGATTCGCAACGCATTGCGTGCTAAGGCGCTTATGAGTAAATCAAAGGCAGAAATTGGCCAGACGTTTGGCTTGTTGTTGCTGTGGCTGTCCTCGCGGGATTTACGCAGCCGCCAAGTGCATCGTCCTGTTAAGTAGCTGCCGCCTTAATGAGCAATACCCTTAAACAATGACACCTAACCCAATTTGACGGCCATGGCTTGCCAATTCTCGCGGGCAATTTTGGCTCAAGTGCGCCCGTGTTTAATAATTGGCTATATCGAGGCGATATTGTAGAAGCAGCTGTATAAGACTCACACTTAATGAAGCAACCTTTGAACCTAGTGTCATGACTAGTTAGGTTTACATAATTTCAGTTCGATTTATATCATCACATAAGTTTCACTCACAAAATTTTATATATAACCATTTAAATATTTGCTCGACGAACAGAAAATTATTAAGTTGCAATTATTTTATAGAAAATTTCAGGTTTTTCAACGATAATGGCTAAAGCAAGTTTTTTATTTAACATTATTGTAACGCGCCTAGAGCTGAGTAAGCATGAAATCGATGAGCCACAAAATCTATTGGTGAATGTGGACTTTAATAAGAATCAGCTTAAAGTCACATCGAGCCGCATAAACGTGGACCAGTTCGATGTAACGAAAGGCATTAATTGCCAAACAGATCCAGCAGTATTACGTGACTATCTGGAAGCGAATGGTCTGACCATAATCGTGCGATACAACGGTGTGGTTCTAGGGAAAGGATGCGTCCCCTTCCTCGAAAGTTTTATTAACCAGATTGACTATGATATGGACTATTTGACCTATGCAGGCACCTGCAACCTCTTTGGACACCACAGCCTTGTGGGCTCTATCGATGTGATGTGTTTGCTGACCATCAAGTGCGAGAGTCAAGATGATTTCGTAGGGTAAGAGGACATATTTCGCAATTATCGATAGGTATTCCAGTACTGATGCCATATTGACCTCCCTAGACCATGCAAAGACGCCTGCGGGAACATTGCCAAGAAGGACATCATGATATTAATGCGTAATCCAGATACCGACGCAATAGCAGACAAATCATATTTGACGGAGCCGGAGGAGCAAGAAAACGACATACAACTGGGGCTAGATCTCAGCCGATATCGCAGCATTAATCAACGTATGAGCCAGTCATCGGAGGATTCAAGCGGAACAGAAGCGTGTAATCTGCTTAGGGCCATGGCCACGGAGTACGCACAAATCATCGACTCGGTTCTTGAGAAAATCACAGAATTATCTTCGTCGACGCCAGATATAAGTTGTCAAGACGCAGATGACGAGGATCTACAGTATATTAACAATTCCGAACTCACGGATTGCCTTATGCCAGCTTCCGTTACTGATGCGGATGAGGCGGATATGAAGCCAATACGGTTCTGTCCCATTTGCTGTAACTCTGTGTCCTGGATGCCCAAATACGCTCACTGTCCTCGATGCTGGACGAAGCCTGTGCCACTGGTCGAGATCGATCCGGAGGGATTGCCCACAGCTGACCAAATCATAAAGTCCTATGTCGAGGAGCCTGAAGAAGCCGCCATGAAGAAGCTGTCTGCCACGACAGAAGAAGAGTCTGCTAAGGAGGTCTGTGAACCTCCAGAGAAGGAAGAGCATAAGACGACTAGACACCGCGACCGTTGCCAGTGCAAGAGACACAAAATGTGCTCCCACTGTCGCGTTCGCAAAATGTGCGCGGAGCTAATCTCATCAACAGACCAGATAAGTCCATCCAAAACAGATGAAGACGACATGTCGTCCATCAATAATCGTCCACAACTGAGAAATGTATTAATGGAGCTCAATTATCTCTACCGTCAAAGGGACCACAAAGTGCAAAAGTCTCGCACGAGGTCCCAACTCGGTGGGGGTCTAAACACCAAATCATTGTAATATATCGTATTTTGTGCAAATATATGTATCTTAATTTATATAAATAGATTTGAATCGCTTTTTTTTAACTTACAATTTTAATAGCTCAGTGAATAATTTATAATGATAAATAATTTATTATAGGCGATGTCAAGCGAGAAGACATCTATTCCATGATGGCAATTGATGTTTTTGAATAAATCAATATAAATAAAAAACATTTTTTTTTTGTATTTTTATTTATCACCAAAAATTAAACAATAAATTTTAGAGTATATTAAGCACTTGTCTTCGGAGATAAATGCACCGGCCCCCAGAATGCAGTCATACAAAAACAATCAAGCATTATTCCCCAAAAGGTTAACGGTAAATGTATTATCATTGAAAAAGTCCATCGTTCACTCGCTCATGAACAGAGCGCAGACGCAAGCTGAACGCCAAATTAATGCGCAAAATTTAATTAAAATTGAACTTAATTTAGATAAGTGCATGAGGTGAAATAATATCACACACTTCGAACACGAGAGCAACAAAAATATATGTGGTGCGAGTGGTGCGAGTGGAGCGCGTGGTGGCGGCACATTGCGTGCTAAGCGGCTTACAGGCAAATCAAAGGCAGCCGAAGCGATAAATGTGTGGCGCTAAAGCAGGTTTGTGGCTTAGTTCGGAATGCTTTGTTTGGGTCTGTGGAGTTGGTTTTAAGTGCATTCCACACACAACTAGGCAAATATTGTAATAGGCAAAGTCTTTAGGCCGAATCTATTTAATGAGAATTTCAATAAAAGACAAAAATGCATTTAATATACGTAATATCAGTTTTTTCCGTTTCAATTTCGTATTGCAACTTGCATTAATAATTCACCCGCCTTAAAAATTGAAATATATTTCCGTTTGAAGTTTGTAGAAATCGAACCGAACAGCATTTTCAGTCATGATAAATTTCTAATTCATTATTGTAGAGTTTTTAACGGGTTTCGGAGTGCCAAATCTTAACTTATAATTTTATTTTTATTTTCTTAGATTCTTTGTAGTTTTTATTTTAATAGTAAATTAAATATGTCGGAACATCAGTCGAAGGTACCGACCTTCCTTTTCGACATTATTGTAACTCGGTTGCAGCTCACCAAGGATAAAGTCGATGATCCATCAAAACTAATTGTTAATCTAAAGTTTAATAATATTCCCATGTCCATAACGCCCAGCCGTATAAACGTAGCTAATTTTAAGGCAGGACGTCAGTCAGCAATCACATGTGATCCCGAGATCCTCCGCCAAGGTCTCGAGACGCAAGGAATGCCAATGACTGTGCGTTACAGTGGAATGACTGTGGGAACTGCAACATTCAAGTTTCCCCAATCCTTCATCGATCGCATTCAGGACGGCATGAGCGACCTATTTCATCAGGATTCGTGCACTCTAGTTAAGCGCGATGCAGTGGCTGGCACTTTGGAAGTGTTTTGCAGTCTAATCATCAAGTGTGAGACCCTTGTAGAAACAACAGAGTAAGGCAACCCGTAATTTATCCAAAGCATTCGACTGACATTCTACTGGTTCACTTAGACCCTGTAAGAAGAGCTGTGCCAACCTAGGAAAGGCCATAAAGGAGGCAGACATTTTGTTTGTAATTGGCAGGAATGACCCCTGCGATTCGGTATGTGAGCCGTGTGCAGAGCAGATAGAGACTGTGGAGGGCGATGAACGACTCCGAATGGATCTGAATCGCTATCGCGGCGACAATCAGCGGGCAACTTTGCCGCCTGCGGAGAACTATAAGCTGGAAGCGACCTCCGTGCTGAAGGCTATGACAGATCAATGCGGTCTTGCAATTGACTCCGTTATGAAGAAAGTAAAGCAATTGCCCAAAAACGAGCTCATATTCACAGACTGGAGTGGCCAACAGACGCCGTTCAGGCAAAAGTATGTCGATCGCACAATAAGTGTTCCGCTTGGCGACATTGAAGTGATGGGCATAAAGCCCATTCGCTACTGCCCCGTGTGCCTCACCCCAATGTCCTCTCTGCCCAAATACTCGCCCTGTCCCAAGTGCGACACGAAGGCAATGCCCAAGCTTGACCTTATTCCAGAGAAACCTCTGACTGCCGATGAAATCATTAATCAGTGTCTGAGAAAACCCAAAAAACTAGCCGACGACTTTTGCGAAGATCCCTGTGCGGAGCCAGCCAGTGACGAGAAAGAGAAGTTGTGTACGACAACCTGTACCTGCAAGGGAGGCCAGTATTGCACCCATTGTCGCATCCGCTGTATGTGTGCAGACATTCTGGGTCCCCCGCCTGGCCCCGGGAAGGGGTGTCCCAAAGTGGAGCCAAACGAAAACGAGGACTTTTGTGTTATAGTCGAGCCCAATCAGCTGTCGTGCAGCCCTTACTTGGAACGAGTATTTGTCGAGCTTCGAGATCTTTATAAAAAAAGAGACGAGAATAAGGCTGCTCTTTTAAAGAGGCAATGCGCGCAGAATCTATTGCAGCTCAAACTATCCCAGAACAGCTCACATGTGCTGACCCAAAAGTCATCGACGGGTGCCATCGTGAAGGTGACCGGAAGTCCAACCTTTATGCATCGCCTGCATGGGCCGAAAATTGGGCACAAGACTTGCTTAAGGCAAGAGCTCAATGTATCCAGACGTCATGGCTGGGCGTGGCCGTCGACCAAAAAGGCACGCAAATACGGCTGGCGTCCGGGAGCTATTTGCCGCTATGCCGGAGCCGTAATGAGATTTTTCTTATGCTCAGCGGAAAATAATGCATTTAACACCTGTCAGGAAGCGGAAGAGGACGAGAGGAACATACAGCACTCGATTCTCAATATGCGCAAGAAGAATGGCGCAATTTATATAACTCTACGTGCGGTGAATAGCCCGCACGTGGAGATGAAACCCATTGTGTTCAAGATAGTCAAGAGCGATCTCGCTGTCGCTCTCAGGGAGATCAAGAAGAAGCTGAAGCAAAGAGGCTTTCCTAAATGCGTGTGCCACAAGTCCGTTATGATGTGCGTCTGCCGGGACGCAGTGGATAAGAAACATCTCGCACGCGCACTGCAGAAAGAGTGTAAGCTACGAAGAATGGAAAGCTGCATAGATCACTTGATCCTCACGGACACCAGTGAGAGTGAGATGGAGTTTAATTTCGATGTGACACCCCCCTTGGCTGTCGGCAAGCCCCAGCTAGCGATTAAGCCACGTACCTTTACATTGAGTACCCAAACAGATGAAAAAGATAAAAAGGTTCCACCACTGTATCCAACCGAGCTCGATCCCTATTGGCGTGTCTACGACTGCGCTGCGGGCGATCGGTACACTGGAACAGCCTTTGGTAAGCCCGGGGAGGCTATATTTGAGGATGGACTGTTTGGACACGAAGGCGGTGGACCGCACGGTGCATCAGGTTCGCCCGGGGGCAGACCTAAGCTCCCTGGAATATGGGGCTCCGGCCAAGGTGGGCCTATGCGTGGGGGCGCACGTAGCGGTGCACTAGGAGGTGGGCGTGGTGGTCCTGGAGGCATTGGTGGACCTGGGGGTATTGGGGGAGGCAGAGGCGGAAAAGATTTTCCAGGTGGTAAAAAGAAACCAGAGCCAACTCCGTTCATCCCTGTACGAATGCCTAAGCGCCACGTTGAAGCTGTTAAACGAGCTATCCAAGCCGAAAAAGATGCAGTTAAGAATGAAATTGCTCGACGGAAGAAGGGTATTGACCTGATGAAGTACTTAATGAAAGATGGCTCTATTCCCACCCCGTGGAATCCGAATGAGCCGAAACCAGAAGTCAAGTCTAAGGTCAAGACGGGTCCGGTTGTTGGGGCAGATGGGTTGACCGATGAGCAGCGCAAACGAAAGGCTCTCAACCAGGTTTGCGCACCACCTTTTGACAGCTTAGCCAAGCTGGGTAAGGGTATCGATCCGTGCATCAATCAATGCTACTATCCATGCGCTAATCAGTGCTACACTCCATGCGTCCAATATTGCAATCCTTGTCCCTACTATTGTTAAAATAATCAGGAAGATATTTATACTGGGATGCCAGATAAAGTATGCCCATTACTAATCAAATTTAAGTAGGACATCGAACTAGGTGAATGTGAACATGTTAAGATATATAATTTC